TTTAATACAGATGTATCATCAAAAATGGTGCCTAATAAGTGATTTAATAAAACTTTACGAAACAATCAAATCAGTCTTTTAAATGTAAATGAATTGTTATATTTCCATTTGATTACAACTAAACATTGCGTTTTTATTTTTTGTCAAATAAGATGCTGTACAACAGAACTATATAAAGTAACACATGGATGAAAAATATCTCGCTTGTATGATATTCCTTAAAAATAAAAATACTAATACTATTAATTTGAGAAGTACATTTTAGCCTATAATGGTAATATATTTCTGTCATAATTTCTTCAAGCTAAACCGAGCTTTTATTTTGGCAGTTTGTCATGAAGATCTTTAAGTTCCAATGTGTATTTGACGGTAGTTTTTCAGAAACAAAACAAAGATATCTTGGAAAAAAATCTTGATTGTATGATATTCCTTAAAAATAAAAATACTATTATTACTATGAGAAGTACATTTTAGCATACAGTGGTAATATATTTCTGTCATAATTTCTTCAAGCTAAACCAAACTTTTATTTTGGCGTTTTGTCATGAAGATCTTTGAGTTTCAATGTGTATTTGATGGTAGTTTTTCACAAACAAAAAGATGAAAAGTGTCTCTCGGGCTGTTTACACCCGGTATAAAGATGCATTTTCCTCAATCTGATCACAAGGTGTAAACGGGTCTGAAAAGTTTTGAGCTTGTCCAAGCTTATTATCGTTATCAACATAAATTTTATCGCACAGCACTAGAGGTCGACCGATGTATCGGTTTTGCCGATTGATTGCTGGAACTATCGGATATCGGCAAAAATCCATGCCGATAGTTTTCCGGGTTGCGTCCATTGCTGGAGCGGCTGAGAAGGGTCTGCTGTCATTACACAGTGCGAGAGCGGCTTCTAGTGGTTGAAATCACTGACAGCATGTGCTGTTTGTTTAGACACGTGATACTGCACGCTGAACAGAGCGGGAAACTTCAGACGCGGATTTAAATGCAGCCGACAGAAAATCCTGCCGCGCCACAGAGCGCCATTCACATACATTATATTTGTCCCGAATCGTTGTTATGTACATAATGAATTGTGTATTGTGCATTTTCAGCAAAACGTTTGTCTTTCTGTGGCTCTAATAAAGTCTGTGTGCTTCATTTATAGAGCTATAATATAGGTCGCGCTTTCTCTTTCCGTTTGCTCCGTTTTTTAAACACCGAACTTCAAACTCATCTATGCCAAATTGTTCATTCTTGAAGTAAACTTGTGTCTGTTTGGTGATTAAATAAACTGTTTTAGACCGCTGCTCGAGTTGAACGCGACGCGTCCGGAGTGTGTGTGATACCGGTGAGTTCTCCTAGACTCAGCGCTGCGCTTTTATTTTGATTAGATAATCATCAAGTGTTCAAGAATAGAAGCAGTTAAAGTGTGAGAGTATACATACAATATCCATATGTATATCATTTTAATGCTATAGCCTTTGTGTATATATTTAAAGATGTGCATCTTTAAGCATGACAGTTGAAATGAAATGGTAACACTTTAAAATAAGAGTCCATTTGTAGCACATTATATTTGTCCCGAATTGTTGTTAATGCTTCATTTATAGAGCTATAATATAGGTCGCGCTTTCTCTTTCCGTTTGCTCCGTTTTTTAAACACCGAACTTCAAACTCATCTATGCCAAATTGTTCATTCTTGAAGTAAACTTGTGTCTGTTTGGTGATTAAATAAACTGTTTTAGACCGCTGCTTGAGTTGAACGCAACGCGTCCGGAGTGTGTGTGATACCGGAGAGTTCTCCTAGACTCAGCGCTGCGCTTTTATTTTGATTAGATAATCATCAAGTGTTCAAGAATAGAGGCAGTTAAAGTGTGAGAGTATACATACAATATCCATATGTATCAACCCTCTACATTGCGAGTAAATCACTCGCATATGCGACTAAA